ACACACACACACACACACACACACAAATAAATAAATAAATAAAATAACTTGGGCAGACATTTCTTTGTGCTCTTGATACTTATTTGAGATAAAATAACATAAAAAATTCTCACAAAATAGACACAGGGACAAATACTTGTTATTAATTTAGGAAGCGTGGTTTTACGGGCCTTGTCACCTCATCTGTTCTTGTGTAATGCAAAGATAATGCATGTAGACTCCAACCCACTCTAAGTCAAATGGGAATATATCCAAAGATTGCTGACATTTTGCCCTGAGAATTACCCTTTTACACAGTTAATGGTTGTGGTCTCGGTTATAATATAGACAACGTGGCATAGAAGCTGAATCATTTCCGAAGCAGTTTAGGACTGCTTTCAGTGCTGCTGCTAATGAAGGCATGGAAAACTACCAGCCATATCTTCAGAGTTACATCTGTGGAAGGAAACAGCAGAGGAAACAAACACCACATAAGAAAGCAAAAGCACAAGAGACTCATGGCCGAGACCCTGCGCTGCACTGTACCTGTACAGATGAAACTGGAGAGGCCTCCGTAGATGACTTCATCATTGTCGGGCAATATAAACGGACACCGTGTCTGAACCTCCAAACAATATTGCTTGCAAGGAATTGTCTTTCTGCAGTTAGACTGTGTGACTTCAAAATACTGGGAACAGAGCCAGGCTTTATAGACAATCTGAAAAAAAAAAAAGAGAAGAATCAAAAATATGAAGGGTTGACAGCAGTTCTGACTCCAATAAAGAACATGCTGTACTGTGAGCAGCATGTTGTGGTTTCAAGTGGATCATAAGAAAACCCTCATTTCCAGAAAGCTTATTTACCCAATGGCAGCTGCAAGCGATAAAAACATAGCAATGAAAGTCTTTGCAATAAAAGCAAAACAGTGTTTGATAGAGCCCTTCATTAAATGCAAAAGGTATTTTGGTGTTTAATTTGATGTAGCTCATTTGAAACACAGTACATTTACGAAGGAATTGAAGTTTTCAGAATCCAACAATGTATAAAGTAAGAGAAATGAATGACCCTAGTGATACACTGTCGCTATTCACTGCACCGTGCAAGGTGGCTGGAGAGTCACTTTCCTAAACACTAGATGGTGCTGAGTCCTTTACAATGACGGCCCAGCAGGGGCTGCAGCATCAATGTCGGCTAGCGAGAGCTTGGACTTCCAGGGGCACAGAACAAGCAGAAACCGATATTTACACTTATGACACATATCAAATACATTAAAAATCTCATTGTCTGAAACCCCAGAAACACCCAACACAGACCAAACATAATATGCCATGATGTGGTGAGGCACAGGAGGAGGGAAACCTCACCAGAACCACACCGGCAACCTTTCAGATCGAGTTGCATCTACACCAATATTTGTTAAGTATTTACATAATCTGATAAAATTTGAAAAGACTGTGACTTCATTTATCATTTTGTTTCTGGTGGCTATTTAGGAAAATAAATATTGGGAAAAATTACCTTTTTCTGATATAAAGAAATAAGCTGAACCTACATTCAAATAAACAGTGTCAGAAGTACTCATCTGCAGTATAGATCACTGAAATTTAGTTATTTCCCAGGTCTGACACTGATGGGGTTCTGTGTGTCTCTTGCTAGGGTTTATACCTTTTAGGTAACATTTTGTCAACTATAGTTTACGTAGAAAAATGAATGGTTTAGAGTTAAATGTGCACTAAGAGACCATACATACTTGATAATAATAGCAAAAATAATAGCTAATGTTTAGCAACTTTATATCTCTTGAAAAACTTTGCAAACATTTTTCCCCATGAAATTCTCAGCATACACTTAGAACATAACTATTAGTCACTTTTTCCACAGGAATAATAATAAGTAATGGAAGTAAGTGGAAAATCCAGAATTCAAACCCATGTTCTGGATTCAAAAGTCTGTGCTCTTAACAGTTATGCTACATTTGATCTGAGATAAAGGTGTTTTAAGAACTTATGAGATTACAAGGGAGTTTGCAGGTGAGCCTAACATCCACATGGACTCTCATGCTCTTGGTTAATGTCCATTTAATATAAGAAAGACTATATGGAATTTTTATTCACAACTCATGAGTTTGATCAAAATGAAACTTTATTCTTTGGTCAAATTGCCTCAGTAGGGGTAAAATGGGATAAATGTGAAATTCAGATGTAATTTTAGATAGCCAAAAGTAATTTTTATTTGATAAGTTATCAATGGTTCATAATCACGGTATAACTTGTTAGGAAAACATACAAATAAGTAGTATTCCTAAAGGTCTTTTGCACGGGTCTTAATATAAACATAATACATTGAAAAAAAACAGTAGAAAAAATACTGTAATAGCTGAGGATCCCCGTAAGAATTTTTGTATTTCAATTGAGAAACAGGAGAGGGGTGGTGGGCGCGTGGTGGTTTGGGGCAGGCAGGGGTGGTGCTGCGTAGACGCAGACGGAGACTGGAAGCACCAGTTTCAAAAGAAGAGAAAATAAAATGGCTTCTTAACCATACTTTGGAGAAGTTAAAAACGTTTTAAAAATATTATTGATATTTGTGTCATATGACACCAGATGTCATATGACATAGGACATCTATGATATAAATGACATGTGTATACTTTGTGATTCCTAGTTCTAATGACCTCATTTAGGTACTAGCTAAAGTTGGATTATGTTTATATGCACAGTTCTAACAAAATTCCACTATAAGGAAAGCTCACATTCTGCATATTTCTGGTGTTCTAAAGTCTAGAGTCATCTGTTTTCTTTTAAGAAACGCCCCTCCGGAATCCTTCTGTGGGCTGCACTGTGCTCTCTGTTCCCAGTCCTGCTCCCAGTTTGCTTTTATGCAATTATTCAAATTAAAATATTTTCTGAATAGCGAGACATATCCTGTACCTGTAAATTCTTATCTTAAAAACAATATCTCTTCTCTCACAGACAGTGGGGTGTCACATACTGAAGTCTCCCGGGATATATACACACACACATCCTCTCAGTCATTTTCTTCAGCATTGCCCAGTCGGAACAGATCCATTTTTATTCTAGTTCCTTAAATTTTATTTCAACTGTATTTTCTTTGCAGATTTTTTACTCAAAAATCTAGGAAGTGATCAAAGCAGTTTTTTAAATATCAGGTAGAGACTATAAAGAAAAGCAGCAATCCCTGCAGCGCTGCCAGCAGGATTCTGGCTCTCACGCTGGACCACGACCACCGCTCAGCTGGGCTCCCCAGCACCTCGGTTCTTACAATGCACCTCCTGGACTTTTGCATATGCAGTGAAGATTTTCATTTGAGTATTAAACATTTTCTAATTTTTTTTCTAGAGATAAGATATGTCAGAAAGCAATCAGGAAAAACTGTGTAGGCCGAGACAAAATAAGGCTGGGACGGAGGCACATTTTACTGTTACTTAAGAGATTAAGGCTGAGAAGCAATTTCTATAAAACTGAAAGTTTTATCTTTTCTCCGTATAGACGTATTTATAATAAAAGAGGGAAAGCATGTATACAGCACATTTACTACAATATTCAAGAATAAACTGGGAAAGGGAAATAAGAAAATTCTTTTCTCATCTTGAAAAAGATCATTTGAAAAGTGAAATGTCAGGTGAGTAAAAATCTGAAAACTATGTTCCATGGAGAACAGAGAACTACCTGAGACTATGCTATGTCTGGAACAGAACAAGGCAGGAGGTACTTAGTTATTTTCCATATTTTTCATATCTGAAAAAACTCCTATGGGCTCCTGACAGAGGCTATTTTTTTTTTAATGTGATGTCAGAAAATAAAGGGGAAGAGGGAAAACAACTAGGTAAATATTGGCCTGGTATACAAGAGCTTTCTTGCCAGAAGAGATATACAGAAATATCATAGGCTGTCACCTGAAGTACTGAGTTCTCTCCTACTGGAAATATTCAAGTAGACATTTTTTTATTGATTATGAATACTCATGAAGAACAAAGCTGACCGTCACCTCTTGTGCCCAAGATGTGCTGTCCAGATCAATACTGGCAGCATGCCCATTACTACAAGTTGCGACTATTCCCTGTGTCCCCCACCCAATGAACCCCCGACCTCCCTCCCTCTGCCCCTTTCTGCACCCTACTCTGCAACCCTAGGTGGGCATTAAGTGTTAGCTAAGAGAGAAAGAAGGAAGGAGAGAAAGATCAAATAGACTTTAGATAACTTCTGTCAAAATGAAGGGGGAGAGGGTTCCTGTATTAGGAAAATGAGAGAGATAAATGGCCCTAAGATACGTTCCAATGCGTTTCTTGAAGTTTTGAAAAAGTGAGGTCGAGAAAGTTATATGTTTTGTGGAGGCACAGAGCTAGAAGGAACAAAATGATTAGTTTTTTAAAGTACTAAAGGATTTTCAAACTAAAGCACATGAAAAATGAATATACTGGTTTGATTTCATAAGAACTATGTAGTATAAGGAAGGTCAGAAATCTTTTTTATAACGACTTAGCCTTCCCCTATAGAGGTAAATTAAATATTAGGTAAATTGCTTCTCCATGCATCACTGAGTAATATAAAAAAGTATGAAGCTAAACAATAATTTGAGGAAGGAACAAAATATATGTGTAAGGTGACAGGTGACAAAGTTATGGCTAACCGAACCACCCACCCACTCTCCTTATTGCGGGCTGGTGCCTCTTCTGTCTGCAGAAGTAGTCAGGTTTGTTAGGAAGTTGTGCTCTTAAGGGATATTTCAAATGACCTATTCACCCACGCTCTGTCCTCGGCTCTGTGCCCCTTGGAAATAACTGTTGACTGTACAGAAACTTTACTCGATGACTGACCACCACATAGTCAATGGGAAATATTCTCAAGTTGAAGCCTAGTAAAGAAATGGACTCAATTACAGAATTACAGAAGTGGCCTAAATGAGAAAATGTTTGCTTAAAATTTAGATAATGGTTTTCTCTTTTTCTGCCAAAGCATTTTCTCACTTGTTATCTTTCCTCATGAAACTCTTGAAACTCATAGGGAAACATTTTACAAAGAAGGAAACTGAGGTGCAGAGAAATTACACAGCAAATGAATGGAATTTGACTCCCTCAGCAGCATGGCCAGTACTTTTTTCACTGAGAATTCTTATAAGAGGAACTATTCTGAGAGGATGCAGAAAGTGATGAAGACGTGAACAAGTCATAAAGTGTGACACTCCAGAGCAGAAAGTCCTAGAGACCATCGAGCTGAGCCTCCAGATTTTAAAGTGTGATTTGGAGCCTGGAAGTTTCCAGATGACCACAGTAGGGAAGTCGAGGTCCTGCAACCCAGATGCACTGCCTCTAGGACTTGCCTTAATAATGCACCTTATTATTTGAAAGCATCAGCTGAGTATTATTCATTCCTAACATTCTAACAGTATCCTTTTTTTTGCAAGTCATTTCAGAACTGCACTTTTGAAACTTTTTCACTTGTGACTCAGCAG